CTTTCTCTCTATCCCATCAGCATTTGGCACATATTGTTGTTTTGATCTGTTGTCAGTGTCTTGCAGCACTTTTCCAAATGGAAGATAGGATGGACAATATTAGTGTACTTGGCAGTGATGCCACATTAGAGCCCAGAGCGAACCAAATGCCTGGTAAAACATCTTTACTTTGCTGATAAAAGAATGACTAATGTGTTTCCATTTTGTTGACTTTGCCTTCATATCCGGAAAAGAAAGAAAGAAAGAAAGAAAAAAATCAATGGCCTCTGTAAATATAAAGCACAGTTCCATTTGAGGTAAAGATAGTGGGAATATAACAAAATCAGAAATTATACCTTCAAGTATACAATTATAGTCTATGTAAAAGGCAACGTTCCAAACTTTGTCTTTCTTGTTAAGTATCGCAAAGCGTTTACATCGGTTACTCGTCGCGTCGCATCCAGTATAGACAGTTTTCCAGGACTGCGAGAAAGCGTAGTACTGACACCTGCTGAAGTATTCTGGTAATAGTGAGGGATGATAGTATGTATTTTTGTGATTTCTCCAGTTCTGCCTCCCTGTTTCAATTTTATCTTTGACCCGCCACCAGTCATCCTTAAAAGAAATACATCATTTCACAACCCTTTGAAAGCGTATGGGTGAGGTTTATATGGCGTAAAAATGGCCTTGAAGGGATGTTCTGGAATTTTTGTCATGGTCCTTGATGTTGCCTTATAGATCAGAACAAATTCTCCAGTCAGTTATGCTGCTGGACTGCTCTTCTGGCTTTAGTGTTCATTTTAGTGCCTTTCTTTAGCATCTATATATACTGTAGCTATACAGCAGGTCTACAAGTACAGTAGGCCTATTCTATCTATCTATCTATCTATCTATCTATCTACTACCGTTCAAAAGTTTGGGATCAGAACGATTTTAAATGTTTTTTAAACAAGTTTCTTATGCTCATCAAGGCTGCATTTATGTGATCAAAATACAGGAAAAAAATAATATTGTGAAATTATTACGATGTAAAATAACGTTTTTCTATTTTAATATACATTCAAATCTAATTTATTCATGTGATGCAAAGCTGAATTTTCAGCATCATCACTCCAGTCTTCAGTGTCACATGATCCTTCAGAAATCATTCTAATATGCTGATTTGTTATCAGTGCTGGAAACTGTTGTGCTGCTTAATATTTTTTTTTGGAACCTGTGATACTTTTTTTCAGGATTTCTGATGAATAAACAGTTAAAAAGAAGAGCATTTATTTAAAACAGAAATCGTTTCTAACAATATACACTACAGTTCAAAAGTTTGGGGTCAGTCAATTTGTATTCTTTCTTTTTTTGAAAGAAATTAAAACTTTTATTCAGCAAGGATGTGTTAAACTGATAAAAAAAAAAGTGATAGCAAAGATTTGTAAAAATCAGTTAGGCTTACTTGCTTTTCTTAAGTAGATTCAGTGATTACTTTTTACAGTGTAATAACATTTTGCAAGATTGCATTTTTCTGTATTTTTGATCAAATAAATGCATCCTTGATGAGTATAAGAGACTTCTTTAAAAAAAATTACAAGTCTTACTGATCCCAAACTTTTGAACGGTAGTGTGTGTGTGTGTGTGTGTGTATATATATATATATATATATATATATATGTATGTATGTATGTATGTATATGCAGGCTTGTTTCACACTATTTTGTGGAAAACCACACTGGACAACTGATAAATGAAAACGTTGTTGTTGTGGGGCACAAGATTATTTTCAGCGGTGAGCAGTTAATTAAGCTATTTTTCACTGCAACATTAAAAAAAATCGTAAAATGCTTTATTTACATATTATAGTTATGCTACTCTCAGGTGTGTATTGTGACTGTTTTGAGAGCCACTGGGAGTGTTAAGGCAAGAGTGGTGTTCGCTGCTATTTATCAGTCCAGTAAAGGAGGTCATTCAGAACCACGGACAGCAGCCACAAGATCGAAACGTGAGCATGTGACCTGGAGGCAAAGATGAATGAAGGAGGACAGACAGGACTTATCAGTACTTCAGCAGCATGATGGAAAGGTAGAAATAGTACAATGTTTATAGTACATAATGCTCATGTTTTCAAGCAATTCTTGTTGCCGTCCAGCTTTGCAGACACTGTGAAGGACTGATTCAATCAGCCAATGACTGGTAGATTTCCTTTCAGACAGAATCACTATACACTCCATATTGCTTCAAACAAAAACTTCAGTTTTTTTAGACCAAAAGTATGAATTTTCATTTTAGAGCTGCCATAAATGATTTCATTATTTTATGGTGCAATAATGTTCTGATGTTGTTCTCTGAATGCTCTACAAAAATGACTGATAAAGTGAACTCAGACATTTGCAGAATTATTTTGGCATCCACAGTGCACAATAGAACCATTTTATTTGGTTGAGTGTGTCAACCTCTTTTTTTTTTTTTTTTCTGT